ATGAACTGATAATTTGCATATCATGAACCGGTCATTTGCATATCATGAACTGATAATTTGCATATCATGAACTGATAATTTGCATATCATGAACTGATAATTTGCATACTATGACTGATAATTTGCATATCATGAACCGATAATTTGCATATCATGAACCGATAATTTGCATATCATGAACCGATAATTTGCATATCACGAACCGATAATTTGCATATCACGAACCGATAATTTGCATACCATAACCTGATAATTTGCATATCATGAACTGATAATTTGCATACTATAACCTGATAATTTGCATATCATGAACTAATAATCAAGATGTCTTGTTTATATTTTGCTGGATGAATGATTCCATAATAAAAGAAAGCTACAGTGATTTTCCTATATTATCCAAGCTCTAGCTCTGTAGGCCATTTTGAAATTAATCAATATACAAACAAGCAACTGACTTCATAATTCAGAAACTAATTCAATTACCCAAAATTTCTTTCTTGGACTTTAAGATAGCCAATCACAAGGAATAAATTAAGTTTAATTTAACCAAAATTTCTGTCACTAGTGTTAAAATTTAGCCACAGTCGTTCATACACGTATATGTGACTGTCATTGATTCTTGTTCCATGTTTGTCATAGTGCATTATGGGTAATTAGTGATTCCCGTTGCTCTGGTTAAAATTAGAAGATGTCAAAAATCTATTTCAACAAATCATGATTGATTCGTAGTTACTACCTTCCCTGCTGGTACCAGTCATCATGTCTTCAACAACAACTGTATTGTGCAGTACATACACCTTTTATTCTGTGAAAATTGACTTGATGACATATACAATGTAATTGCTGGCAGTTGATTTTCTTCCAGCCGGCAGGGATGTAATTTGACTGGCGTCAGTTTCAATCACTCTCCATTACATGCGACTGTATTGTGTGGCTATCAGGAGTGATTAGGTGCCATTGAAAACGTTGTTGACAGTGTAAAATCATTTGGTGTTACTGTACCTGTGTTGACTGTTTATCAGACATTAATAGTCAATGATTCGATGTAGTTGATGCTATATAGCATTAGGCCGCACATGTGCATTTGTTGTCACTAGCAATGTATGCATTTAACACCCAATAGAATTTCCAGCAAATGAAAACTGACAGCTACAGAGAACTATCAATTTATCAACTATCAAGTGTCAGTGTCATTTTGACAGTCTGAAAAGCCATGCATGCACTTAAAAACAAGAAATTTGCACTATGTTGCAAAAGTGTGAGCGCCTAAAGTAAAGCCATTCCACCCAGCACATATGGCTTCTAATTGGACCCAGATTCCAAAGTCGAGTATATCTAAGTAGCCTTATCACTGTAGGACAAACTATTGTTTTGCGGGGAGTGGCAAGGCTAAAATCATTTGCATAGTATGAATATTTTTGTCAATTTTGGTTAAAAAGTAATATTGTTCGATTGCTTTGATATTATACATTTAGGTACCTTGGGTAGACCTCTCTCCGATTTGTTCATTTTGTGATGACACCTTAAATTCTCTAATTTTAATGAATATTTTTGTAATTTTGGTAAAAAGTGATATTTTCGACTTCTTGTTAAAAACCGCAAATCAAATTGCTTTGATATTACATATCTAGGTACTACATGTGGATCTCGCTCAGATGTGTTCATTTCGTGATATCTTCAATTCTCTAATTTTGATGATTATTTTTGTAATTTTTGGTAAAAAGTGATATTTTCGACTTCTTGTTAAAAACCAAAAGTTCAATTGCTTTGATATTACATATATAGATACTACATGTAGACCTTTCTCAGATTTGTTCATTTCGTGATGATATCTTCAATTCTCTAATTTTGGTGAATATTTTTGTCATTTTGGTAGAAAGTGATATTTTCGACTTCTTGTTAAAAACTCTAAGTCTGATTGCTTTGATACTATACATATTGTTCATTTTCTAATGATGTCTTCAGTTCTTTAATTGAAATGTGCATTGTTAACAGCGGAGCTATCTCAGCCGATAGGCTGCTTGTGTTGCTTTACAAGTTGCACAAAGTGATTATTAATTCATCTAGACAAAAGTACAGTAACAACAATGATATCTCAGTATATGTTACCTTATTGGTTCATGTTTGCTTGTATTATGATTTTAACCTTTTCATTTTGACTT